TATATATATATATATATATATATATGTATATATGCTGTAGTCGTTACGCGTTTCGAAACTTGCGCTGCGATCGTCGTGTCCGAGAGAGAAATTATTTTTTTCGAGATAACGACGTCTGATCGCATATACGCGCTAAACACTAGAGAACGCTTTCGACTAGTAGTAGTATAGCAGCAGCAGCTATACGATTTAGTATTAGCGATCGCGTGTGACATATATATCTGTGTGTGGTGTTGTGTTGTATATTGTAACCGACCTCAGAGACAGGTGAGACTACCCGCTGAATTTAAGCATATTACTAAGCGGAGGAAAAGAAACTAACTAGGATTCCCTCAGTAGCTGCGAGCGAACAGGGAAAAGCCCAGCACCGAATCCCGCGGTCGATATCGGGCGCCGGGAAATGTGGTGTTAGGGAGGATCCGTTTATCCCGAGGTCGCGCGGCGAGTCCAAGTCCTTCTTGAACGGGGCCACAGCCCATAGAGGGTGCCAGGCCGTAGTGGCCGCTGCCGATCGCGGGAGGATCTCTCCTCAGAGTCGGGTTGCTTGAGAGTGCAGCCCTAAGTGGGTGGTAAACTCCATCTAAGGCTAAATATGACCACGAGACCGATAGCGAACAAGTACCGTGAGGGAAAGTTGAAAAGCACTTTGAAGAGAGAGTTCAAGAGTACGTGAAACCGTTCAGGGGTAACCTGAGAAACCCGAAAGGTCGAAAGGGGAAATTCATTCGCGTTTCGGCCGTCGGCGATGAGCGGTCGCGCGACGGACGGCGTTCGCGCGTCGTCCGCGCCTTTCGCTTTTCGATCCGGCGTCGAACGCGTGCACTTTTCCCCTAGTAGGACGTCGCGATCCGTTGGGTGTCGGTCTACGGCTCGCGGTGGAGTCCGTGTACGATCGTTTCGGCGATTCGTGCTCGAACCCGCGATGTTCCGGCCGACTCGCTCGACGGTATACAGATGGCGCGAGGCCGCTACTTCTTCAATTAGCGTCCGACCCACGACAAGCACGTTCGATGCTAAGACGGCGATCGGACCTAGCGCCCGGTTCCGTCCCCGGACGACTGTTGGTCGTGCGGATTTCTCGACAGACCTCGTTTGAAACGCCCGATCTGCGACGCTATAGCTTTGGGTAATTTCAGGACCCGTCTTGAAACACGGACCAAGGAGTCTAGCATGTGCGCGAGTCATTGGGACATAACTAAACCTAAAGGCGCAATGAAAGTAAAGATCCGCCTAGCGCGGATTTAGGAAGATGGGCGGCACGTCTATAAAGCGGCCGCTCCGCACTCCCGGGGCGTCTCGTTCTCATTACGAGAAGAGGCGCACCAAGAGCGTACACGCTGGGACCCGAAAGATGGTGAACTATGCCTGGTCAGGACGAAGTCAGGGGAAACCCTGATGGAGGTCCGTAGCGATTCTGACGTGCAAATCGATCGTCGGAACTGGGTTATAGGGGCGAAAGACTAATCGAACCATCTAGTAGCTGGTTCCCTCCGAAGTTTCCCTCAGGATAGCTGGCGCTCGTCTGTGACGAGTTTCATCCGGTAAAGCGAATGATTAGAGGCATTGGGGTCGAAACGACCTCAACCTATTCTCAAACTTAAATGGGTGAGATCTCCGGCTTGCTCGAACTAATGAAGCTGCGAGAATCGAATCAGAGTGCCAAGTGGGCCATTTTTGGTAAGCAGAACTGGCGCTGTGGGATGAACCAAACGTCGAGTTAAAGCGCCTAAATCGACGCTTATGGGATACCATGAAAGGCGTTGGTAACTTAAGACAGCAGGACGGTGGCCATGGAAGTCGGAATCCGCCAAGGAGTGTGTAACAACTCACCTGCCGAAGTTACTAGCCCTGAAAATGGATGGCGCTGAAGCGTCGTGCTTATACTCGGCCGTCAGCGGCATGTGCGGTCTCGATCCGCGTAAAAACGGATCGGCCATGAAGCTCTGACGAGTAGGAGGGTCGCGGCGGTGCGCGCAGAAGGGCTGGCCGTGAGGCCGTCTGGAGCCGCCGTCGGTGCAGATCTTGGTGGTAGTAGCAAATACTCCAGCGAGGCCCTGGAGGACTGACGTGGAGAAGGGTTTCGTGTGAACAGCCGTTGCACACGAGTCAGTCGATCCTAAGCCCTAGGCGAAAGCCGATGTTGATGTGGCGTTGTTTTATAAATATATGTATGTATGTGTGTATATATAAAGAACACGCCCGTCGGGCGAAAGGGAATTCGGTTCCTATTCCGAAACCGGCAGCGGAACCGTACAATAGTCGGGCCCTCGCAAGAGAGTTCGTCGGGGTAACCCAAAAAGACCCGAAGACGCCGTCGGGAGACCAGGGAAGAGTTTTCTTTTCTGCATAAGCATTCGAGTTCCATGGAATCCTCTAGCAGGGAGATATGGTTGGAATGCGAAGAGCACCGCAGTTGCAGCGGTGTCCTGGTCTTCCCCTCGGACCTTGAAAATTCGGGAGAGGGCCACGTGGAGGTGTCGCGCCGGTTCGTACCCATATCCGCAGCAGGTCTCCAAGGTGAAGAGCCTCTAGTCGATAGAATAATGTAGGTAAGGGAAGTCGGCAAATTGGATCCGTAACTTCGGGATAAGGATTGGCTCTGAGGATCGGGGCGTGTCGGGCTTGGCGAGGAAGCGGGTCGCGGCTGACGTGCCGGGCCTGGGCGAGGTGAAACGTTCTGTCGTATGCGTTCGCGCGTGTGCGGTAGGATTGCGGATCCGAACTCGGTACCGTGCCTTGGCCTCCCGCGGAACCGTCTTGCTGCGAGGCCCAGAGTGCGCTCGCAAGGGCGTTCTGGTGTCCTCTTCGGCCGCCATTCAACGGTCAGCTCAGAACTGGCACGGACCGGGGGAATCCGACTGTCTAATTAAACAAAGCATTGAGATGGCCCCTGCGGGTGTTGACTCAATGTGATTTCTGCCCAGTGCTCTGAATGTCAACGTGAAGAAATTCAAGCAAGCGCGGGTAAACGGCGGGAGTAACTATGACTCTCTTAACACATTTGCGACATCTCTCCTCATTCCGAGTGAGAATACGACGACGACGACAGTTGTTGTCTTTATAACCGAAACGTAGAACTATCGTTTTTCGATCAGAGCAAGAGAGATGCGAATGGGATCCTTACGGGCAAAGGCCAGATCCTCAGAAGCCTCTTTGAGTATGCTCTGGTCTTATTAGCTAGAGAAAACCAAAGTTGCTAACATGGGGAGATTTATCGAGCAGGGCGAGATATCAGTGTCGGCTCTGATTGACTCGTATCCAACTTGCTACGGTAAATCGTCGGTGAGATACCAACAAGCGATGTATCGTCTAAGAACAAACGAACTCGTTTGACCAGCTAAAAGGCTTCAAACAAATATGGATGTAAAGCACAATACCAAACAACCATAGAGGGTCCAGGTATCAAGGGTAAACCGGATTAAAACGACAAAACGTGTTCGTCACCTCCGCCTAGGAGAGGACAAAGAACAAGTTGAGTCGACTGGGTCCCTAAGAATACCGGCCTTATTGGTTTACCTCTCCTAGAGGATCCCACAAGATAAAGAAGGCAAACCACACTTGTCGGAAATAACACCAAAATATGGACCTCTTGGTCACTCTAGTAGTGTCCAGGGGCCTTTTTTGGCTGCAAAAATTTCAGACAAGGAAGAAGGCTTCCCTTAAATACTAAGAACACTCAGTATAGGGGGGGGGCCTTGAATTGAACAACAACCCGCACAGGTCTGCTGCAGGTTGAATCCTATACATCCAGGTAATAAACCTGGAAGGAGGATGCCTCGACAGCTCACTAGACCGCGGACCACCAGACTCTTGGTCGGTAAGATCTGGGAAACAGTGTCTGCAAGCGAACCGGACCGACCAATATGGGCAAGTGCGGTTGCTCTATAAAGGGTTCGCTACCAGAAGACCGGTAACTTTACCAAAATTTGAACGAGCGGAATACACCTTACCGGTCTGTATCCGCCGTCCGACGATATCGCATCCCTAAGGATCGCGATTAGGACAAGATTTGAAATAGCAGCTGGGTGGCGCTGGTACTACCCGCACGTCGGTAGCTACTTTGCTATATCATAAGACGCTGAGGACTAGAACACACCACACCAGCGCACCCATGTCAAAGGTCCTCAAAGGGCAGGTCAGTAGAGCGCGACCTGAAAGCCTCGCGGGGCGTCCCGACCCTGTGAGTGGATGATTGTCTCGGGAAAACGAAATATGCAATGGATAAGCGCTGTACGGGATTACCACCTGACCAAAAAACTGCCGTTCGGATTGGTGGTGGCAGCAGCGCGTACGGAGCGAGTTGGAGTGCAGAAAGCGACGAAGCTCGAAACGTATTTGGAGACGATTCAACAATGATTGGTGAAGCTCTCGAAGTGGGTTCAGATTCTCGCTATCAGTGCTCGACTTCACGTACAATTGCTAGTGGAGTTGAGACAGTCAGGCAGACCACCGAGGGGCCGGAACGCAGTTCTCCTGGAAACTCTGAGTCTCCCACCGACTCGGGCTCCGGAGACCCATGCGAGGCCGCACTAACTACTATCACATTTAAGCACCCTGCGGAGAGGTACAATTGCTCGCTATGCGCTCGCGCAGGGAGGGTTATGCAGTCCTTCCTAAGCGCGAAAGACGCTAAAACGCACGTAACAGAGACGCACCCAGAAGTAACAACGTACTGGGAATGTCCGCACTGTGACAGAAAGAGCACGACCACATCGGGAATTTCGAACCATATTCGATCATGCCGACCACTAGGTCGTCCCGCAGAAACTGGTTATACGTGCGAAGCCTGCTCCTCATCATTCCCTACCAAAGTTGGCCTATCGATGCATGAACGGCATGCTCACCCAGCAATCAGAAACCAGAAGCGGTTAGCTGACGCAGCCGCTCCCAGGAAGACGAATGCTGGCGTCAGGTCAAAGATTTGGTCAGAGGAAGAGGAGCAGAAACTGCGCCAACTAAACCAAGAGTATGCGGGACAAAGACACATTAACAAGCTCTTGATGTCGCAGTTCCCGGGGAAAACACAAAGGCAGATCAGCGACAAGCGTCGTCTGCTCGGCCTGATTGAACCGGCGAACGGGCCAGCGTCTCGAACGAGCGACAGAGCAGTACCCCGCTCACTTGGGAATCAGACAATAAAGCTGCAAAAAGAATCGCCAATAAATAAGATCTTGAAGCCTCAGGTGAAAGTACAGAAATCGTATGACGACGAAGAGAAGAGATGGAGGCAGTGTATGATAGCTTCGGCGACCAGAACACTTGCCAAACACCATGACGAGATGGCGAAGGACGCTAAAATACAGCCTTTGGCAGTCAGGTTAACTGCAATTGCGGGGAGCTTTCGATCTGCTGAAGATGTCATAAGCGTATCTGACCCACTCGTAAAACAACTCGAAAACGTCGTCAACGAACTCACCGTCGAGTTAGCGGGAGGCAAACCCAATCTGCCCCGAAACGGCCAGAGAGGTAAGGCCGCAAACGCTAACCACAGAGCTAGGGGAAGTAGAGACAAAAGACGCCAACACGAGTATGCTACGGTACAACAACTCTGGGAGAAAGAACCGAAACAACTAGCTACGCTAGTAGTGGAGGATCGGCTCTCAGATATCGAACAACGCCGCCAACCTGAACTACCTCCGGGTGATCAGGTAAGAGACCTATATAACGGACTCTGGGGCGTTGAAGAAACCACATTCTTCCCACCTGATTGGGAAGAGACCGTAGCTACAAGGGTGGGCGTCGTCGATATTAACCCGATACAGCTCGGAACGGTAGAAAAAAGATACCGACGCCTGAAAACGCACACTGCTGCGGGGCCAGACAAAGTGGCTAAGAAGGACATACGCCGAACAGCGCGCATTCTTCTGACTGCGATCTTTAATATCTGCTTGGGGATTGGGTTTTACCCCGAATCCTGGAAACGTAACAGAACAACGCTGATCCCAAAAGATGGCAAGGATCTGACAGTGGCAGCCAGCTGGCGGCCGATTACTGTCAGCTCAATCCTAGCCAGACTGTTCTCGGGGGTGATCGATGAATCTCTTAGGGGAAACATCGAGCTAAGCCGAGCACAAAAAGGATTCACGCATGACGAGGGAGCGGCTCAGAACGTCTCCCTCTTTCGCCAAACGTTGAAAGCGATGAAGGAGGAACAAGGTGGAACTTGTTCCATACTTGACATTTCCAAAGCCTTCGACACAGTGCCACATGGTGCATTAGTACCGGCGCTCAGAAGGCTTGGAGTGGCCCCTTATATCGCTGAATACGTCGATTACGTATACCAGGATTGTCAGACGGTCTTACCATCTACGACCGAAGAAATAAAGATCAGTCTGAAGAGAGGCGTGAAGCAAGGCGATCCTCTTAGCCCACTTCTTGGAACGCAGTCGTCGACCCATTATTGA